AATAATGCAATGTATAAAATCGTAACAAGCAGTTCAACTTGAACACCTTACGGTCTTAATATGGCACAAAACTATGCTGAAGGGGAATTGCACTTGACGACCCTCCGAAAATAACTCTCAGTGATGTTTGATTCACAGATTATGCATAGGAATATTCGAAATGCATCAGCTATTTTGCAAAGCTAGCGACATTGCATTGACCATCTGTATGCATGTAAAAAAATGTAACGACGAAATAAGTTGAAGAGGTGGTATGCGAAACTATGGACACGTAAAAAACATAAAAATGTAAATGTCTGAAATGAAAATGTCTGAAATCAACAGATGAGAACCTTTCCGGTAAAGTAGTGCACATCGACCTGTCCACGAATACACTGCGAACAATTAATGATAATGCAACCTCGTTGAACTGCCTTTCGGATCTCTTCAATGATATCAGTTCTTCGTGACGGCATATTACCTGCACCATACGTTTCTAGCACAACACCTTGTACTGGTGGTTGCAGGAAGGCACGTATCTGAAGACGATTCATGCATCTTCGATGTGTGAATGAAAAAAAAAGGTTTGGAAACAGTAGGCGACGGAATTTTGAGATGGGAACATACCGTGGAAATTGGAATTGACGGGAATATTCGAAGAACGGCAACATTCCGACACAAGCGATTGTGAACAGAGAATGGCGCCATTGTAGAGGAGCGAAATATGGACTCGTAATTGACTGAAAGAAGGATTTAATGGGATCAACTGATTGACGACAATGGAAGTGAGAAGTAAGCTTTAACAGACCTTTGATTGTAATCTTCATCTGCGCGATCGGTTGCATATTCGGACTATCGAATGCATCCATGCTACAATTGTCGAACTTGATCGTTCGATTCCCACGAAACAGCTTATTGTTGAAATAGACGGTCACTTCTGGGATATCAAACGTTCCAGCAATCAGCAGCGCCCCAACTAGATTTTCTCGACCATCCGAACGAACCTCACAAACTGGAATCTGCAAAATCAGCACCCCTGTTCATCCAGTTCACTGATTTGTGACGATCAATAGCACATTGAATGCGTTGTTTAAGCCACTCTTAGGCAATGCTTGCTGTTGGCATTAAAGTATTCCACGGTCAGCTTGCACAAATACATTCGATTATGATCACACACAAAATCAGTTGCTTATGAAACATTTTACAAATGAGGAACATCCGCAGAAAGCTTAATAAATCAATTGACCAATCAGTTGGTTGTCATCAGCACTTCATATCATCAATATCTCGGAAATGATTTGATCTGCTAAAGAACACCAATGCTCACTCAACTAAATGACCGATATTGCTTTGCACTGTTCAATTGTTCGTGCTTCATTTCTGCAAAGCATTCTAACCGCAACCTGAGTTT